TATAGTACCGAGTTGTGCTCATCAACGACATCCAACATGTATATGAACGATATCTAATTCAAATATGATCAAATCAAAATTTATCATAATCCCATTGGAATTCTCAAATATGTAACACAACATATTCATGACTATACGTGTAACATCAAACGGCTCAAAACTCCACGAACGCATCTCAAAACAGCGCAACACAGCTCCACAAAACGAGCAGGAAAAATAGACGAGACTTCTGTTAGTAAAATGAGCATATCTTTCTCTAGAAACACTATTTTTATAAATGGTTTTCTGTTTTGAAAACTAGATTCACACATCTTTCAAATGGCATAAGGTTGGTTTAGTTTGGAGTTCATTTGTTACCCCAAATCTCCAGTTAAACATTATATATGTGCAGCAGTTTTTCTGCAGGATATATTGTTAGTAAACATAATATATCTTTCTCTATTCAAAATCTTTTTAAGAATGGTTTGCTGTTTTAGAAACTAGATACATATATCTTTTATTTAGAACTAGTTTGGTTAAATTTGGAATTTGTTTACTATCTTAAAATATTAGTTAAAGATTATACAAGTACTATAATTTTCTGCAGAAAATATATATTTAGTACATCACTTAAATTTCTTTTATATAAATAAAATTATGAATAACCCTAATGATCATGATCATGATACTATTATAAATAGTAAGAAAAGATTACTAATCTACTATTGATTTAAGATTTACTATCAAAAATCTGACTTTTAGCACATCAGGTTAAAATTAAAGCATGAAAACACATATTCGACATCATATTAATCATCTATACTAGTTATTTAACTATGAAGATGAGTTTGGATGAAGATAATCTTGCCTCAAATATTGTTCTAAGCCTCTAAGATAAACAACAAGCAATCCACGAGCATAAACAACCCGTTCTCTCTTGTCACACGTCGAAGATCTCGCCCTCGTGTCGGTATTGTGCTCCACAAAGCTCTCAAAATTCATACAAAAAATATCTAGGGTTTTTGAGGGGAGAGGGTGGTTACTAGGGTTTATAGATATGATAAAAGCAATGAATTTTTGTGAAAAACATAGGTATTTATATAGGCAAACCCGAAACAAACCTGTTTGACCCGAACAAGGAAACGTAGTCTGACTAGGAAAATAACATTCGGTATTTTGGCCATAACTTTCACGTATGACCTCAGAATGAGGTGATATAAGATTTTTTGGAAAGCTCTTGAAGAGACCTACAACTTTTATTTTTAAGTTTTTCTATATTACAATTTTTTCAGTATGTAAAATGCATATACTTTTAACTAGTCGTTTTTCCCAGATTCCGGCCCGTGCACGTGTGCATGATATCACTTCTATATTCACATATATACATTGGATTGATCTCAAATCAATTCCTAAAATACTCAAATATTAATAAATATTATTTTTTTCATAATACAACATATTTATTATTTATTACAAAATATTCAAATTTTTAGGGTTTTACAGATGTATTCTATATCTTTTCAGCATTCAGTTGGATAGTTTTGTAATAAGGGCATGTTTGACCCAAACTTTGTGTCTCAAATGTTATCTCATTTATGATATGGCATTTTTATTCTAAGTTATTTATTATATTCTTGCTAATTATGATCGGGGACATGTGACTTCGCATTGTATATTGCTTGACGCTTATATTAGGTTGAGAAGAAATAATTTTTATTTATTCTCCTCAATCTAATACGTCGCGGGCTTGTTCACGTTCCAATTCCACGGTATTTTGGAAAGTAGGGCGTGACATTATCACTTATTTACATAATTGATAAATAACAAGCTTCTTTGATGCAAGAACTGAATGACATTGTTTGGTTTAATGTCAACCATCTATATTTGCACGCATTACAATAAATTATAATTATAGTGGTACATATACTTAAATGTTTTATATATAAAGTTTGCCTAAATTATAATATTCCTTTTCCCATGATTGTAGCTATTAACCAAATTTTATGGACTCGTCCTTAACATTTTATTATATGCCCTCTCTGATTTGTTTTGTAGCACATTGTATTTACTGTTATAGGAATAAGAAGTGTATGCATAAGCAGCTCTCTTCATAGTTTACACACATTCATCTCGTAAAGATGGTGTAATGACTTTCTTTGACAAGTTATTCGTAAAATTGGCCAAGAGATGACGTATGCAATAAGAGAGATATGCCATCGAAAGCATTTCTCCACAGAATTTTGAAGTCCTTTGTCCCTATTAGAGATTAAAACTAGCTCATCATCTGGAGTTTATAGATGTTCATCATTGAAGAGAATGCTTGAATGCTTTCCAAAAACGAATCCTAATTACTCTCATTCTACATCCTGTATATGCAAATTGCTATGGAAAATAATCCCCATCACTATTTAGAATTGTTGCGGCAAGTAAGGTTTCTTTATATCTATAAAAAAAGATAGACTATTATGAAAACATAACATGTTTTAATGAAAGTATAACATGTTATTATGAAAGTGTAGTATATTATTATGAAAATATAGCAGGTGTTAATGAAAATTAGAATATAGTACTTTAATGTAAGTTTTGATTAAATGTCCTTCATTATACCTATCAAAAAGATGTTTAGCATCCAAGAACAACATTGGCTTGCGTCCCTCGATACGCCCTTCCAACATGCATAATAAAACACTATTATTCTTGTAAATCTTCCATTTTCATGCTCCAAGTGAACAATTGATTCTGGATTAGTTTCTATAATTTTATCCTTATACCACTGGAGTTGGTCATATGAATATTTAGTATCACCATACAATTCACGTTGAGCTAGCTCCTTTCCCCACTAAATTCTATGATAAGGTATGTCCAAACTAAGTTCGATAGAAAGCTTCTTTTGAAAATAAATTAGGTGATAAGCGGGTTGTTCTTTCAAGATGGATTTGAGTTAATTAGCATTCCACTTACGAGATGCCCATCTATATCATTCATCTCCTATGTCCCCTCCCAAAAAATTAAGAGGGTAGCCAATTTTCTTCACATATAATTGATTATTATATCTACGACGGGTACAATGAACCATCCATTCACAGTTTATGGCCTTGCATTTTATTATCACTCTTTTGTGTTTATTTTTTTACAAAGACAAAGTTGAAACCTCGTGCAATAGAGTAATTACTTAAACTCCGCTGGCAATGCTCAACATCATCAAATTCTTGACCAACACTTCTAATTGTATTGTACTATGCGAGATGAATCATACTAGAGCTCCCAACATCCCGAGTCATATTCTGCGAAGACGAAAGATTTTGTGAAGAAGAAGAAGCATGTTTTTCAATGAGAGAGGGATGTAGGAATTTCTACATACAAATAGTATAAGAGTTAAAAAAAAGTTAAACTACAATTAATGATAAAAAATAAAATAAAAGTATAATAAAAGTGTAAGTTACCTTATATGTACAAGGCTAGATTATTACGCAAATAATACCTCTCGATTCATCTCAACATTCATAATAAATACATTCTCCTTGCAACTTCAAAGTATATTGAACATTATCAACACATCATCATCATCACATACAGGCACAAAAACTTCTTTTGTGTGGGACTTTGTAAGTCAAGCGCATCATGCTTGCGCTACAAGAAATAGACTTTATATCACAACTGCTAAATCGGTGTGGCTCCCATTGACATTCAATTTAATAAAGTAATTATTTCCTCTAAAATCTGTCAATGCACAGTACAAGTATTTATCCTTTAATGTTTGACACCAAAAATAAATAAAAATGTGCAAGCTTTATCAAAGATAGTCAACTAAAGCATTAATGAGGTTGGGAATTAATTGATAGGTTCATAAGAGTGGGTGAATGAAAAAAAGAGTAACGGAAAAGAAAGAGGGAATTAAATGAGAAGTGGAGGAGGAGAAGGAGAAGTAACAATCCTCGCAGAACCCACACCGTGTGGGGTTCTGAAAGCCACACAAGGGGCAATAAATGACAGAACTGCCCCCTGTATGTAAAAGAGTGTGGCCCAGAACCTCCTGCACGGTGCGGGAGGTTCTGATAGGATTGTTACTCGA